ACTGAAAGGGAAGCAAATCCCAGTTGTCCAATGCACAAACGAGGGTTGAGCTATTCCTCCTAGACTATAAATTCACTGTCAGGCTTGTCACGCTGGAGTTCCTTTTCCTGGCTGGATATCCAGCCTTCAGCATCATGAAAGCTCTGAATAGGGAATTATGCACAGCAAGAGGCTAGGAGCACACTATTGCATTCCATGCAGTCAGGGGCTTCCTATTTTTCTATACACCGAACAGATGAGATCAGGGAGGGTTTTGCCTCTTGTAGTTTATTCACCATCTTTTTCTCCAGGAGTCTTAACCAGTGGCACTTCCCCAGCTGGTCAGCCCTGTCAAACCCTCATTCACTCAGCCTCCAAGCTGGGAGGCTGACACGCCACTCCCCACTTTCAGTATGGGAAACTGAGGAACAGCAACGAAGTCTGGGGCAGACTCAGGCGTAGCACCAAGGGCTCCCCCTTCTAAAGTCTGCACCTTCACCTCAAGGTCAGCCTATTTTCCCTTTGTAATTATCAGTTAAAAAAACGACAAGAAGCAGTTGAATTCGTTGACTCCTTTGCCTTTAACTTTTATTGATGTGGATAAATACAGAGAGAAACATACTTGACAGCAAGATCCCAAACACCTATAGCCAAATTAGTTATCCAGCTTCCTGCTGGTTTGTGCAGAGGAAACTCTTCACATTTTGTATTGGGGGGGGGGGGGGGGAGAGAATGCAGTAGGTATCAGGAGACAGGCAGCAGTGGAAGGGAAGGGAAAAAACCCAAATCGGTCAGTTTGCAACCACAAGGCAGACCCTGAGTGAGAGATCAGAAAACACATTAATTTGGCTCTTTGGCTTGATGTGGGTTTTAAAAAAAAAAAAAAAAAAGTCATTTGAATCCAATCTGAGTTCCATATAATCGTAGAAAGGAGAAAGCTTTGCAATGGTGTGGTTGTATCACCCTGTGCAGACCGCCAGTAGTCAAAGGTGTTGTGAAGCACCAGTACTTTGAATGCTATCAAGTGTTCCTTTCGCATCCCACCAGCGAAGGTTCAAGCCAGTTGTGCCCCTCCCAGACAGACAGCGTAGCCATGTCTCGAAGGGAAATGAGTTTACAATGGAATTGTAGCAAACTTCTCTCTTTTTAAAAAATAATGTCCAAAGTTTAAATATTTGTAACACTTCAGAATAGTATTAAATTACCCTGCCTCCCCCTGCCCCTGCAGTCATCCTTCCCTCCCATCACTTCCCCAAGCAAAGGAATGAAGAATTTTAGACCCTTCACTTCCTCAGAGGGAAAAGCATGTTGGAGTGCTCTGGGGGCAGGGCTGTTTGCCTTAGTGTCTGTGTGAAAGAGCAGATTCATGACTGCGGGAGGTTCTCTGTGCTGTGGAAAGTTCAGGCAGAGCTTAGTTCTCTCCTTGCTGAGATTTCACAGACGCTGTATTTTACTCCCCACCTTCTCCAGAAATATGGGGACACACTGAATTTGGAAGAAAAGATTGGAACATCCATGGAAAGTGTCTGCCAATTTCAGCAGCATCGTACATTGCACATCCAGTGAAAGTGGCAGAGTAGCCTTCTTTGCACAGATAGGGCGTTCAGTGGCTGAGGAAGCCAGGTAACTTACACACAGAGGGGCAATGCAGGAAAAGCAACTAGCGAGTATTTAAGGTAGAGCAGCCTCCACCCCACCTCCAACATCCAGTGACTTACACCCATGCCGTTCTTTCCACAGCCAGGACAAAAGTCAGCTTAGACCAAAGCTTAGTTTGGTCACCACAGAATCCCAAATGAGCAAATCAGGGCCACCTACTTCCATTTCCTGATCCACTAATGCCCACTCTTCCCATCACACCCAAGTTGGTCCCACAGCATATGGGAAGTCAGAGTCTCTGCTCTATTCCATGAACACACCAAGGATTCTGGATAAAACCTAGAGGCAATTTTAGATGGTACAGCAGACACTGAATTCATGCATTTAAGAGTACCTGAAACACTAGTGATTTCTCTACCCAGTGCATTGTGCTCTTTTTTCCATACGGGATGCGAGATGCGTTTTGGGCAGGGATGCCAGAAGAAAGTTCCCCCCATGATTCAAGCTGAACTCACTATCTCAAAAAGGAAACCCCCCTATAAGTAATTTACACCTTTTTGTACTTTTTTTTTTTAAATCACAAAGGGAAGGAAACCTAGAGAACAAAGATTTCCCCCCCAGAATTTGTCCCCCACAATCTTAACCCAGGCCCTATGCTTTAAATAGGATCCACCATACAGGACAAATACTGGCAAGGCCTGTGCCCCTCACATACCACAAATTATGCAGGATTCGCAAGCTCACACCTGTTGTGAAGGAGATAAATTTAACAGTTGGGTTTTTCCCCCTCCATTTTTTAAGACAGCTTGAAGTTTTACACAATCCACCAAACCAGGTCTAGCTTCCTGGGTGATCTCAGTGGGAGCTGAGCACTCTTGAAAGACTGGGGTCCAAATGGGAACAGAATTCCTGAAGCCTGGCCCTGGGACGTACTTTATGGCAGAGGGCTAAGAGCAGTGCATCAGCCCCAGGGCTAGCTTTGCAGCTGGAAGTTGGAAGAAATGTAGCCATTTCAAAAAACGTTTTCCAGAAACTGACAAGACACACCCTCCCCTCCCCCCAGAGAAACCCCAGTCTGTTGACCCCTATGAAGGGTTCGCTCCATCCAACCCCTGCAGAGGAGGCTACATCTGAACAGTAAGCTAAAAATCCCTAATAGCAAAAGGGCAGAGCTAGAAAGTGCCTATGTCCGTGATTTAAAAAAGCCTCATTGATGGCTTGGTTAAAGAGACAGCTAGTGTGTCACAAAAGCTGCGGCTTAAGCAAAGACCAAATTCCTGCTGGGAGGCTCAGTGTTACATAGGTAAAAGGGGAATAAAAGTTTTGCACCCAAAACCAGATGAGGCTGGTACTGGCTGACAGCCCTGCACTGAGATACAGTCTCCCTGGCCTGGGACAGTGCAGTTCCAGGTTAAACAGAACGTTAAAAAGCCAGGCAGAGTTCAATGCAGGGGAGAGGACGTTTCCCAGAAGCGTGTGAAGACAGTTTACTGGAAATTTGGAAAATTATAACCTGAGCCACAAGGGAAAACCTCCAGCTTCTTGGAGAGATTAGTAAATGAAACAAACTACCTAGGGCTCCCCTGCTTCCACAGCAGCTCTGGGTCCAAGTTCTGTGAGAGAACAACAGCAAAGCAGCCATAGGGACCCCTCCGCGAGCTACCCCTAGTGGTGCCCTCCGGTCTATGCCACACAGATGCAGGATGGACTTTTCTAGCCAGCAGAAACTCAACTGCTCTAACAATGCAGCATAGAGAACAGGAGACAAGGGTAGGCTGATCCTAGAGTCCCTCCCTCAGCTAATCTGTATCTTGGTGCTTTTGCTTGACATCGGCCATCTGCACTGGGTCAGACTCTCCTCTGGGTAAAACTTGTGTCAGTCTGGATTGACTTCAGCAATTTCCCCCAGATTGACACCAGAGTAAGAGCAGAATCGAGCCCAAGCTTTGCAGAGGACTTGTGCATTTTGAGAGGATGCCATTAAAAACCCAGACTGCGACCTGTCTCCAGCAGCAGCCTCAGATCCTAGGAGATGTCTGCACTGCATCTTTGGCGCACATACTCTGCATTAGAACTACAGTGCTAGCCAGCAGGTGGGGGGCAGGAGGGATGTTAAACGGTCAGATTCCAAGAGCCCTGAGCAAATGCAAGGAGGATTCTGCATTAGGCAGAAATGACTAGATCTCTTTCCAGCCACTGCCACCTTCAGGGGGCTCCCGTTCCAAATACAGCCCCCAGAACTCAAGCCAGCTACAAGTACTTGACCGCTTGTCTCTATGGGCAACTGAGCAGGCAGAAATACATAGGCAGATGGCTGGGGGAGATACAGACAGATTCCCAACCCCCGCAGGAATGTCAGCCCAAGTGGGGGTCCCAGCCCCTTGTGCAGTGAAAACTCAAGTCACACACTGGCCTGACTGGTCCTGTCACATTTGACCCCAGCCCCCTAGAAAGGACTATTTCAAAACAATTCACTTTTTTGCAGCATTTTTTCTTTGTAACAACAAATAGGAAGAATCTCATTCCATAATGTGATTGAAATACACTCTGAAGCACCCCCAATCACAATTCTGTTTCGTCACCCTCCTGGGCACAGCAGCTTCCCCCCTCCCCAATCTCACCTCCACTGTCAGGCTTCCCCCCACAGGAGACTGGAGCGAGAGCCCTGATGGCACCTTGCTGCTGCTCCCACAGCGATGCCAGGTCCTGGCCAGTCTAGGCTGCAGACCCACCCGCATTTCAGCAGCCCCTTGGTGTAGCAGCCAGCCACACTCCAGTCACCCCCCTCACTACTGGCACACGGCAGACTGAGCCGGTCACAGCAGTGGGGACTTTTCAATGGAACCAGCATGATCTGGTAGGGAACTGCCCTTGCCTCCCAGTGATACTGAGGCGCAGAGGGATCCTCCCCTCCACAGGAAGGAGGGACAGAGCCAATACCAATCGGTGGGTAAAGCCCTTTGCAAGGGGGAGGTGGTGGTCGGCACCAACCTTATTTCACGAACGAGGAAACTGAAGTGACTCAGCCCAGGTAATGCCCCACGCTGGGATTCCCTGGCTCCATCACCACCAGACCATGCTGCTTCCATTCATGGCCCTCTTCTTACAGGTCAGCTCCTGACCACCTTCTCTACACCACTCAGCGTTCAAACGACCTGAGGACAAGCCCTTCACACAAGCTCCCTCCCCCAGCCCCTGCAGCAGCCACAGGGCACTCGACACCACCTGCCAGCTTCACAAAATTAAAGTGAACAAAATACTACGACCAGATATAACTTACTGCTTAAATTATTTTAAAAATGTCTTTAAGAGATTCTGCGACACGTTTTAGGTACCCCCGCATCCCCGCCCCCACCGCACAACACCCAGAGGGGGCAGGCCCCTGCAGCCCCATGGGATTCTGATGGGGAGAGCAAGGAGAAGGAAGGACATTTCTTATCCTTTCACAGCTTGGAGGACTCCGAACTCTAAGACCAATAATAAAAATAATAAAATAATAATAATAATAATAATAATAAAATAGTTTTGTGAGGCAGTGGGGTCAGACCACCCTGCCCCTCCCCTGCAGGGGGCGGCCCAGATTCCAGGCATGTCTATACAAACTCAGTAGTAAAAAGGACTTTACTTGGGCAAAGGAGGGAGGGGGGGAGGGGGTTCTGAGGGCAGTGGGGGCGGTCGGGGCTTGTCCGTGTTGGCAGCTCTGGAGCTCCCAGGGGCCCTTGGATTCAAGTACTCGCCATACGAGTGGGCGAAGTCGAAAGCCGGGGGCTGGGTGGGCTGCATACCCTGGGCACTCAGCAGCGAGTGCAGCATGTTGACTGTATCCTGGTAGTCAATGGCCTGGTTTGTGTTGTGCCCGTTCGCCCCAGTGGGGCCTTTGTCCGATTTCCCGTGGGTCCCCCTGGCTTTGCCAGCCTGGGGGAAGGGGAGGCCGGCTGCATCCAAGCTGTGCCCAGGGAGCTGGGTAGCCCCAGGGAGGTGGGCAAAGGAAAAGGGCATGCCAGCAGCTTTGGAGCTCTTACTGATTTTCGGCTGGTGCTCGTGTGCAGCAGCCGACGCCTCTTCCAGGAGAGGCCTCTTCCGAGAGGACCCCGACAAGCTGAAGCTTTTATGGGCCAGGGTGCTCTGCTGGCTGCTGTGTTTAGAGTCTCCTGGTCGCTTGCCCCCAGCGCCGCTGGCCCCAGCTGCGGGCTGCGCATGCAAGTGTTTGTGCAAGTGATGGTTGTGATGGTGGTGGTTGGACAAGTGGGCCTTGTGTTTCTCCTTGTGCTCCCGGCTCTTCCCGCTGCTCTCGTCTGAGGAGCTGTGCCGATCCGAGGCAGTCGGCACCTTGATGCGCATTTTGATCTCCTCTGGTTTGGAGGAGAGTTGTCTGTCCCCTCCTCCCCCTGCCACAGGGATCCTCAGCTTCAGGGCGGAGGCCTTGTCGCTCTTTTCCAAAGGAGGGCGCTCTGCGCTTTCGGAGCTGCTGGTGGGAATCTTCAGGACGACTGGGGAGGGGTTGTTCTCCTGCTGGACTTCCCTCTCCCTCTGCTGCTGGACCAGGAGATTCTGTGCAGCATAGGCGTACTGAGACCGCACGTTGGCCTCCATGTTCTCCAGCTGCCGCTTCTGTGCGGCCAGCTCTTCGGCATGCTTGGCGCGGTACTCTTTCAGCGACACCTTTGCCGACGGCATGCTCTTGCTGCTCTGCTTCTGGTAAGCCGCGCCATCCTGCTCAGTGGCTGCCGAGCTTTCGTTAGTCCTGTGAACCTGACCAGCCTCTAGCTTGTGTGGAGGATGGTGGGACATCCAGTGCTCTGACTGAAACATATCCAGACTGCTCAGGTCACTGGGAGAGTCCTCTCCATCTGGGAGGAGAGGCCCGGCTCCTGCAGTCGAGGAAGTTGACATACTCATTAAGCCTGCAATGTTCATGTCGGAGTTGTTCCTGGAGATCATGCTGAGAATAGTTTGCTCTGAGAGGCACTCGTCTTCTCCTTGGTCATCTGCTTTGGATTTCTTGGCTGCTTGGGAGGCCTGCAATAAAGCAGCAAGAAAGGGCATTTGTACCTCGGTGGCTGTATGTCACCGACACAGGCCCTGTTACCCACTCAGGGAGAGGAAGGGAGCAACTGCCACAGTGCAGAGTTAGCAGCAAAACTGAGGTGCTCACGATCATGCAGCTTCCCTCGTATTGGGGCTATCACACTAGATGGTCCTGCAACAAGTTGTACATCTCTCACCTGCTCCTGACCAGCCTGGGGGAGAAAACTGTTTGCGAAACACATTTTTGCCCTAGAAGAGACCACACATTTACAAATAGAGACAGCAGCAAAAAAGGGCTCCAGAGGAGACCCCGGCAATTACAGGCCGGGAAGCCTGACTTCAGTACTGGGCACAGTGGTTGAAAAGTTTGTTCTTTACTATAGTGTCAGACACATAGATGAACATAACTTGTTGTTGAAGAGTCAACATGTGGACAAGGGGGATCCCGTAGACGTAGTGTCCTTAGATTTTCAGAAAGCCTTTGACAAGGTCCCTCCCCAAAGATTAAGTAAAGTAAGCGGTCATGGGGTTCTCGCAAGGATCGGTAACCGGTTAAAAGACAGGAAACAAAGGGTAGGAATAAATGGTCAGTTTTCAGAATGGAGAGAGGTAAATAGTGGTGTCCCCCAGGGCTCTGTACTGGGCCCAGTCCTATTTAACATTCATAAATGATCTGGAAAAAGGGGTTAAACAGTGAGGTGGCAAAATCTGCAGATGACAAAACTACTCAAGATAGTTAAGTCCAAAGCAGACTGTGAAGAGCTACAAAAGGATCTCTCAAAACTGGGTGACTGGGCAACAAAACGGCAGATGAAATTCAATGTAGATAAATTCAAAGTAACGCACATTGGAAAACATCATCCCAACTCTACATATAAAATGATGGGGTCTAAATTAGCTGTTACCACTCAAGAAAGAGATCTTGGCGCCATTGTGGATAGTTCCCTGAAAACATCCACTCAAAGTGCAGCAGCAGTCAAAAAATCTAACGATGTTGGGAATCATTAAGAAAGGGATAGATAATAAAAGACAGAAAATATCATATTGCCTCTATATAAATCCATGGTACGCCCACACCTTGAATACTGCGTGCAGATGTGGTCGCCCCATCTCAAAAAAGATATATTGGAATTGGAAAAGGTTCAGAAAAGGGCAACAAAAGTGATTAGGGGTATGGAAAGGCTGCCATATGAGGAGAGATTAATAAGACTGGGACTTTTCAGCTTGGAAAAGAGACGAATATGGGGGGCTATGATAGAGGTCTATAAAATCATGACTGGTGTGGAGAAAGTAAGTGTTATTTACTCCTTCTCATAACGCAGGAGCTAGGGGTCACCAAATGGAATCAATAGGCAGCAGGTTTAAAACAAACAAAAGGAAGAATTTTTTCACACAACGCACAGTCAACCTGTGGAACTCCTTGCCAGAGGATGTTGTGAAGGCCAAGACTATAACAGGGTTCTAAAAAGAACTAGATAAGTTCATGGAGGATAGGTCCATCAATGGCTATTAGCCAGGCTGGGCAGGGATGGTGTCCCTAGTCTCTGTTTGCCAGGGGATGGATCACTTGATGATTCCCTGTTCTGTTCATTCCCACTGGGGCCCCTGGCATTGGCCACTGTCGGCAGACAGGACACTGGGCTAGATGGACCTTTGGTCTGACCCAGTCTGGCCGTTCTTATGTTCGTGTAGCCCTTATGGCTTCAAATATACATTAAAGTAAAGATTAGAGGCCACAGAAAGTGGCAGCTCAGCCCTCCCCACTCGCTCACGGATGGGGAGGTATTACATAAGCCTCCATAAGAAACGGGTTTGTCAAGCCCTGGCTAGAAAAAAAAAAAGCTAGCTCATCAATGAGTTAATTCAAGACTAATGAAAATAGAAATGTATGATCTGTTAAACCTTAATCTTGAAGTGCCCCTCCCCTGAGCACTGTCAGAACTAGAGACAACACAGCTCAGAAGCCAGACAGGAGTCTCAGTGCCAGAGCAGTGGACAGCAGCCCCAAGAGAGGAAATTCTTACCCGCCAGTTGCGGATGCGTTTGAGCCGGTTGGGAGTTTTCTCAAGAATCTGCAGGAATTCATGAGTCAGCTCTGTAAAGGGGATACACAAAACACAGACAAGAGGGTCAGCGGGAGGATGTAGAGCAGCCACAAGCCAGCAGCCCGCTGCTCACTGACGGCTGAAGCTATTCATGATGAGATGGAGCTATTTCAGGAAGGGAAATACGGTGAAGTAGTAGCGCTGACTGTTTAAACTCATCCCACTTCATGACTTCTACTGTCTCTATTGCACCACAGAAGCTGCCACACTGAAAACCTTGGCACGATCAGAAGCCCTTGAAGTCCATGAATTGGTCAGTGGCTGTGTCTGAATGGCAGATGCCAAGATAATAAGAGTGCCTTTTTGGGGGGACCTTGCTCCAAAACTTACCGTCTAAGAGCTCCAGAGTTACAGTGCCATCAACGTATTCCCACCAGTGCTTCCCGTCCGTGGAGACTGGGATCTCCCAGTTGGACCACTTACAAGCCAGGTGGATACAGACGCAGGCCACAACGGGAGGGGTGTACTGCAGGCTGAAGGTGGTCAGGTGCAGGCTGACGTCACCAGCAGGGAGAGAGAAACAGAAAGCCATGAACTCCCAAGCCTGAATCTCAGCACACACAATCCCCCGCTGAACAGACACTGCGGAAGTGGTGGGCATGGTGGGAATGTTCCTGAAGGGAAAAGGGCAATTCCTCCCCCAATACATCCCTTGTTGTCAAGGCGTCTCTATGCACTGCCAAGTCACTTGTTATTTCCCTGTGCTGCTCAAACCAATTCATTTCCAGGCTTCTCCACAAGCTCCTCCCAACTCTGGGCTCTGGGGCCCATTGCCTATTGCAGGGGGGAAAGAAGCTAAGTTATGCTGGACTTCAGCAGTCCCCTGAGGCCCAACCTCAGAACCCAAGAGAAGCAGTGGGCAGCTTGGTTCTTGGTAGAGCCTAGGCTCGGAAGTGGGCTCTGCTCAACCTGAGGAGAGATTGAGACAGCTCCATTCCTCCTGCTGAAGCAAATTCACATGGCTGGAAAATGCTGATTCCCAAGCCAAGCAAAACTCCTGTGAAGTCAACGTGATCGGTAATGACACATGCACCATTGTGAGAGACCCAACAACCAACAGTTCAAACAACGAAGCCCACAGAGACTTCCACTCCTGCCTCCTACTCTCAAACCTTGGCTTCCTCAAACCACACAACTTCTGAATGTCGATGGAGCTGGAGGATTAACAACTGCCAACTCAGAAAGACACTGCAGGACAGGACTGGGCCTCAACGCTCCCCTTCCCCCCGACATGGCAAACAAAGCCTCAAATCCACTTCATAGGACAATTTATTATGGAGGTGCCATTCACGTCTTCCCAGTTAAGGTTGAGCTCCATTTCACAGGGATTCAACCTCTGCTTTGTATGAAAAATTGTATTCGCCACAACTTTACAGCACCCACTCTTAGAATACAAGATTAGTTTCCTGAGAATTTCCTAGATTAATCTAATTGTAGTTAGAATATAATAAAAACTGAGTCCTGTAGGAGATTTAGTATATGTTGGTCTTCTCTGTTCTGAATTATTTTCTCAGAATGGCAGGTTTCAGAGTAGCAGCCGTGTTACTCTGTATCCGCAAAAAGAACAGGAGTACTTGTGGCACCTTAGAGACTAACCAATTTATTTGAGCACAAGCTTTCGTGGGCTACAACCCACTTCTTCGGATGCACAGAATGGAACATACAGTGAGGATATATATATATATATATACACATACACACACACACAGAGAACATGAAAAGGTGGCTATTTCCCCATGTTAAGTATCCTCAGACCTTCTTGTCAAACTGTCTGAAATGGGCTATCTTGATTATCACTACAAACGTAGTTTCTCTTAATTAATTAGCCTCTTACAGTTGGTTGGGCAACTCCCACCTTTTCATGCTCTCTGTATGTGTGTATATCTCCTTACTATATGTTCCACTCTGTGCATCCAAAGAAGTGGGCTGTAGCCCACGAAAGCTTATGCTCAAATAAATTGGTTAGTCTCTGCGGTGCCACAAGTACTCCTGTTCTTCTCAGAGTGGACTCTCCAAACCTTTGTTTTACTTAAAAATAAATCTAGCGCATGGCCTACATTTGTACAAATGTCAGTCGTAAAGTAAGCTAAGTCATTCACAATCGCTGTAACTAACTGTTATGATTATTGTATAGGCCCCAAACAGGTTCAGGTAATTTAAATGAGGTCATTGTGACAGATAACTCAGCCAATCACTACTCTACTTCTACAGCCAATTGCCATACCATAAATCCACTGGTTGATGCCTCAGTGGTCTATAAGGGAGCCTGGTCTCACATCAAGAGTTTTCACTGGTCTACTACTTGGCCCAACTGTCACTGTTGCCTTGGGCATCAAAAAAACAGTGTCTAGGAAACTTGGAAAGCACCGACACTGGGACTCATGGACAGGGGTCTGCCACCCACGCCCCTCTCCTTTCACAGAAACTGGGCTCACCAAACACAAGCCTCTTAACCATTAAGTCAATTGCAAATTAAGAGCCAGATCTGCCAGTATACTAGGGTTGTTATGTGCTAATCTGGTGATGCAAAGCTGCTGTAATCAGTTTAACTAGCCAGTGGGCTCTGGCAGCTGTGCACTGCTCTGGTGTACCGGTGAACCTGCCCTTAAGAGTTAACATTTTAAAGAATGATTTATGGTGGATAGTACATAACCACAAATCACTAGAAAGACCACACTGTAGCATTTCCTTTGTGTTTCTTGTTCCGTAAGTTCATGTCTGAAATGTGTCATTTAAAAAAGAGTTCCCAGACAAAAAGCTACATTAAGATGGAGTGAAGGTTGAGAGCATGCATCAGTAATATCAGGATTAAAAAACAGTTCAGCAGATATTCTTGGAGCAATCTGCAGAGATGGGAGAGAATTACTTCCATTTAATAGGATGGCAGGACAGAGTGGGACTTGCCCAAGATGTGTGTGTGTCTCTCTCACACACACACACATACACACACACACACACACAATCAGTGGCAGAGCAGGGAATAGAAGCAGATTTTCCAACTGAGGCCTTATCTACACTAGAAACGGACTATTGGCATAGCCAGGCCACAAGTCACCCTAATAGAGATGCAGCTTATACAGTTCCCCAAATAAGCTATGCTAGTCCCCCCACCTCCAACCGACAGAGCTATGCGGGAAAGACTTTTAAGTATACGAAGCCTAAGCCCAAGTTCACCTGCTGAACCAGTCCTTTCTGATGCAGAGAGCTGCATACCTAAGGGCATGTCTCTGCCTTTGATGTTTCTCACTATATTGCTCTGCTTTTCTCCAACATCTCCTCCAGAATGAAACCTAGGTGTCTCCAGTACACATGGTTGAAGTTAAACAACTTTTCACTGAACCGGATTCCATGCATTTGCATGAAGTAATGGCTGCAAGAATTTTCATTTTTTACTCCTTTTTTTTTATAAGAGCTTCCAATTTGGGCCTCTTATTGGTACTGGAATTAATTTTTCAATCCTTATTTGAAAATCTGAAGTCACCTCAAGATCTTAAGAGAAAGAAGCCAAACTGCCTTAGTTCTTTTCTAAGTCCATCTCTTCAGGAGTAAACGTCTAGCATCAGACCACTGCATAGCACGCTGCCAAATCTCTCACTGCTTCCTCGCATTCCCCCATCTATCCGTATCCACCTGCTGTCTTGTCAACTGCAAGGCTCTCTGGGGCAGGAGGCATCGCTTGGTTCTGTTTGGACAGTGCCTAGCACCATGGGTTCCTGGTCCATGACAGGGCTCCCAGGCACTTCAGTAATGCAAATAAGCACTTAGAGTCACTTCTTCAAATACTCCCTTTAAAATCAATTTCTTCTTCTTCTTCTAACTGCCCAAACAGAAGTCTGCACTATCCAGGAGCTGTCCCCTCATCTGCTGTAGACTGCTCCATGGGACAGGGACCCTTTCTTCTGTTGCACAGCACTAAGCAATACCCCCCCCACACTCTCCCAAACTCACTAGATAATCCTCCAATGAGTCCAAATGGCATTTCCCCTCCACCCCCCACCTCCAGATAAAACCCTCTGCTAGAAACATAGGAATCAATTCAAAGTAACAACCTGTTGGTCGCCATGAAGTAGGAAGTTTGTGCCAAATCCTTGCTGGCTGGAAAAGGAAAGGAAAAAACAGGAGTTAGCTTGAACGCTTTGGCCGAGACTTCCAGGGTACTAGTCTGTTAGAAGTACAGGCTTCTACAGGGAGTGGCCACAGAAAGCACAGAACTGGATATGAAAGATCCCGCTGGTTTGATTTGTTTCAGTTCTGCCCCACAGCAACAGAAAACTTGCATTTAACAAAACCACTGTGTTGTGCTTTACAGCAACTCAAAATTATACCCGTTCCCAAACCCATTTCAGCAATTTGCCACTGCAGCATCTTTACTTCGACGTTAGCTACCCCACCACGAAACACCCTGTGGGGTATCTGTCTGGGTAATTCACAGGGACCACTGTTAATGACTGCTCCCACCTCCTGCTTATACAGCCCTTTTCAACCAAAGCATCCCATGTTATTTAAACTCTGAGCTCTCTAGAGGAACCACTTCACCCAGCACGGAAATACAGCCACCTCTGTGAGGGAAGGTAGCAAGCGTTCAACAGCACACTTTAGGTCTCTTACCTCGCACAAGCTGCGTGCACTTCACCACGTGCGTATGGGGGTGATCAATAGTGATCTCGAACCCTGAAAGAATGGCAGAGACACGTGGCCATTAGGTAACAGACATGGCACCCTCATGATTTCACATATCGCACATGCCTCCCGCTCCTGGGGAGGCAAGTCAGCTTCCCCTCGGCACTAAAAGCTCACACTTTCTGCTCAAAGGCAAGCAGGAATAAAGCAGAAGGATCAAGCTGTCCAGTCACAAAACTGGAAGGTCACTGGTTTCCAAGCAGCTAAATAGCTTATTGCTGAAGAGACGTCACTGGAAACAAAACACCTATTAGGGATTTTAACTAGGACAAAGCCTCTTGCAGCAGCTGGAAGGAAGAAAACTAGCATTTGCTCAAAGGAATGTGTGTCACCCCAAAAGCCACAAGGAAGCAGGTGTTTTCCATTCGAGGGAGCCTGTAGCATGAATGTCAGATGAGGTTAATCCTTGCTTCAGTTTTCCATTTAGTTTTGCAAGTTGTTTTTAAAATGACAGCCCACATGCTGAGCATCCACTTGTGTCTGTTTACTTCTCTCACCAGCGTATTCATGGCAGAACTGGGGTTCTAGAAGAGGCAACTAGGAGGACTGAGCACAGGACATTCTACACTTCAAATGCTGACTCCAGAGTTATCTTGCTGTGTAACTGTGGGCAAGCCACTTAACATCTCTGGCCCTCGCTTCTGCACTCCAAGATAGGGATGCTTACCCACTTCACAGGGCAGTTAGGAGTAGTGAAGTTTTGTCAAGTATTATAAAGATGTAAAGTGCTATTAACTACCTTGCAGGCTAAAGACTAGTGAGAAGGGTTTGAATAAGAACATAAGAACGGCCAGACTGGGTCAGACCAAAGGTCCATCCAGCCCAGTATCCTGTCTTCCGACAGCGGACAATCCCAGGGGCCCCAGAGAGAATGAACAGAGCAGGGAATCATCAAGTGATCCATCCCCTGTCGCCCATTCCCAGCTTCTGGCAAACAAGAGGCTAGGGATACCGTCCCTGCCCAGCCTGGCTAATAGCCATTGATGGACCTGTCCTCCAGGAACTTATCCAGTTCTTTTTTGAACCCTGTTATAGTCTTGGCCTTCACAACATCCTCTGGAAAGGAGTTCCACAGGTTGACTGTGCGTTGTGTGGAAAAAATACTTCCTTTTGTTTGTTTTAAACCTGCTGCCTATTAATTTCCTTTGGTGCCCCCTAGTTCTTGTGTTACGAGGAGTAAATAACACTTCCTTATTGACTTTCTCCACACGTGTCATGATTTTATAGACCTCTATCATAGCCCCCCTTAGTCATCTCCTGACTTAGTTGTTTCCTGAATGAATCAGTAAAGATCGTTTAAAAAAAAAAAAAGAAGATTCTCTTGGCTTTTTCTTAGTCATGGTTACTACAAACAGAAGCCTCTACCACTCAGGTGTCTAGTAGAGCCATAGAAAAGGCCAAATCTTAGAGGTAGAGGGCTACATTAAAAAAAAAAAACTCAAAAGAAAACTGATGTTACAATAGCCCATCTGAACGTGAGTAGCAAGCAACCTGATCAAAACATGAACATTCATTCTAGGCTCCCTTCGCTACCCAGAGCGGATTGTCTCCTATTCCAGCCACTGGATTAGAGTACCGCACTCTTACAATTTATAGCACTTGTACCCAGAGTAACTGGCATCCAAGCAGAACAAAACCTGTTGGGGATAGAAACAAGCCAAACTCTGCATGTTTAAGCTGTTAACAACTCAAAATAAAGAAAGTGAAACCTGAAAACACATGTATTAGAAGCAAGTCATGAACTGGTGGTGTGAAAAAAGTTTGTTGCCTGGACTCTTGCTCTCTCATTGGCCAGCTGTGCATCTGCCCTCCAGCTGTGGAGAAGACTGTAGGGTTAGACTCTCCGCTCTGCGGAACCCTCCTGGGTCTGGGATTCGAGTGGAAGCCCGTCCGCTTTGAAAAACTTACCCAGGGTCTGCAGTATAATGCTCTCTAGAATGACCAGGTCTTGAGCTTGCTGCAGGTAAGCCTGGGGTTGAGAGGACAGGCAGGTTACTCACGATGAGGCACTCTGTATAAAGCCTGCACATTTCTAACTCTCTCTCTTAGGGAGGCCAAAAAAAAATAAAAAATAAAAATCAAGGGGGAATCTTTATCCCACTCAGTACTAGAGGGAACTGGCACAGATTCCCTCCTAGAAGAGAGAAAGCAGAGTGCTGCATGGATACACTCCCCTGCTAGTGTTCATTGGACAGTGGTTGCTGCGGCTGGAGCTACACGCTTTAGTCTCTCTCTCTCCATCAGAGTTTTAAACACGAAGGGACATGTCAACGTGAGCAGTGTGGGTTAAAATTTAACCTTTTCATCTATTTTTTTCTACAAGCTTTGGCTCCTGGATAAAGCTTCCCCCTTTCAGCAGGGTTGGAGGACACTCCGTTCCAGTTATGAAGGGCTGTCATGAGAGATGGGGAAAATGGAAACATTTTTGACAATCCCACCATTAGGTGGGTGGAGAGAGGTTGAACTGCACACACCATTTTCTGCTTTGCTACAAGTGCTATTTAACCCTGGCAGACATGTCCACTCCCTACTCAGAAGCCTCTAATACAGACACGATTACATGGCACATCTGATTCTTTCGTTCACACCCGCATAGCGGAGGGAAACAGGAGAGATCACAGAACAGGAGAGACAAGTCATCTGCTCTGAAGAAGCCTGAAAACTGTGCTGTACAATAGTGGTTGATTTGAAAGCTACATTCTGCAATGTAACCACTCATTTACAGAACAGATGGTTATGTACTGGAGTTAATGAGATGCTTTAGCCCCACAAGTTACTTATGTTACCAGGATTCTACATTTCAGGATGCAGTACCCTTTGAGAATGTTCTCATCCCTCCCTCTCGAGCATGGAAATCATTCTGCTGGTGTCTGGCCACTTACCTCACTTCTAGTGTCTGGAAGGGTGTCCTGAGGATGCAGGCATGCATGCGCTACCTTGATTACATGCTCCAGCTTCCGAGGCTGTTCCTCCACCTTGGCTGCCAAGAACAGGGCTGCTGGTGCTACAGACTTCATGGAGGGAGAAAAACAAAAGTGGTCTCCAGGTTCAAGTATTCACAAGCCTGTAATGTTAGCGTCCTGATGGGGTCTGCTGCTATGAGACGGAGCAATCTTAGAGCTCCAAAACCATTGTATTTACTGATTTCCTCCAGGGCGCAAATACAGAGACAAGGAGGAGATACAGATTTGAGAGGATACTCTTCCTGTATCCCATTTAGATGTCTGTAGTAGGAAAACCTTATGGTGTTTTTTTTTTTAAAGCATCAGTAAAAGTTCAGGATTAAAGCTACAAAAAGTCAATTTCTAAGACTGACTAGAGAGAACATTCACATAACAAGATCTTTTAAAGATCCAAAGACTGTCAGCTGTGACAAAAGTATAACTACTGCACTGTCCATTACATTACAGCTTTTGCCCAAAGAGATCAGCCAAAGCTCACAACCTCCCCTCCCAGGTAGGTCAGTGTTACTTCTATTTTACAGATAAGTAAATGGCGGTACAAAGAAGTGAGGCGCTCAGGGCCACACAGCGGAGAAAAAGAGCAGAACGAGAACGCAGATCTCCTGACGCCCATTCTTGTGCCTTGGCCACAGCTTCCCCAACCTATTGAGGGGGCCACGCGGACACTGCCCATCCGGTCACGGCTTTCAGACAAGGGCGGGCGACAGCCCGAGCGAGACTTACATTGCGGTGGAACTGGGTGAAGGCCTGGACCATGTAGAACCGGTGCATGTACACGATGGCGGTGTTGATGGTCAGCTGAGAGCTGAAGGCGAACGGTTAAGGGAAAGCAGCCCCGAAGCTGGACGTGTCCCGCCGGGCCGGGCCGGGGTTGGGTCACGGACACACATGGCCTGACTCGTGCAGACTGTCACCGCCCGGCGGGAAGGAGCCCGAGTGTAACGACCGGTGGGAGGGGGAGGGGGAGGGGGGCGCATACACCAGGGACCGCCGGGACTCGCCCCGTCCGCCCGCCGCCCTCGCCCGGCCCGGCCCCGCTACGCGAGCCCCAGGCCTCGCGGCCTAGCCCGGCCCGGCGCGGATACACGTTGAGGCGCTGGCCCATGTCCTGGAGCAGGTTGGCCGCCTGCTGCCGGTTCGAGAGCTCCTTGTCCGGGTCGAGCCCGGCGCGCCGGGACGGGCTGCGCTCCAGCTGCTCCCGGCTGAAGTACCAGCGCTTCCCCGCGCCGCCGCC